AATACACGCCTTACCTTTAACGTATTAAAAAGATATTCTCCATGTAGGGGATTTATTTGTTCATTGTTGTAAATTCTATCTGCATAAAAATGAAATGTACAAATATTTGTGTGAAAATAGTGTTAACCCTTCCAGTACACAAATTTCTATTGCTAAATGTTAGTACGGCCACTAATTTAAGGAAACTTTCTCACCCTTGAGGGCTAAATGGGCCACTCCAGGGCACTAACATTTAAACGAGCACTTTAAGCACCATAACCACTCCAGGACACTTAGATTTAAAGCAGCACTCTAAGCACCATAACCACTGTAGATTATTGCATTGAATGATGGTCAAAGCATCCTTGGTGCCCCTACCCGCACTCGTTTTTCATCAAAATACATTTTTTATTGACATCTTGACAACAAATGTGGCCAGAGGATTATAGTTGTTCTATGTTGACGATATTTGGAACATTAAAGTAAAGTTCCGTATTTTTCTCTGTTACTTACAAGGAGCCAGACTTTGTGGGCTTGGAGTCGGAGAATCACAGTTTTCGTCAAACTGCTGTCCAATTTTATTTCTCTCAAGATGTTTTCAAGCACCTACATCCCAGAAACCATTGCAAAGTTCTGGTTATAAAATGCTCTAAATTTAGCACTTTAGAATTTCTATTTACAAACATGAGCATTATGTTTCACAGTGTTGCCTGATTATGACTCTATCAATGTGTTCATATTCTGTTATACACTAAAGAGAACCCACACTGGGCAGTGTCAATCACAAACACTAGGGGGCATTTTGAAGGAAACTGCCAACGATATCGTTCTCTTTACAATATTATATATTATAAGGAACAATCTTTAGACCTAGAAATGTCTATTATCATGTGTTAAATGGTGGAGGTGGATAGCAGGTGGTATTAACCCAAGTTAGTATGAATAGATATTATCTCAACATATATACATTTTATTTTACTATATTACAGCTATCCTCTATCAATAGATAGGGTCTAATACTGATTGTTACCCTTTTCTTCTATGACTTTTCTTCTACTCGTTTTCCTGGCACTATAGTGCCCTGAGGGTGACCCCACCCTCAGGGTCCCCCTCCTGCCGGGCTCTGGGGAGAGGAAGGGGTTAAAATCTTACCTTTCTCCAGCGCCAGACGGGGAGCGCTCCTCCTCCTCTCCTCCTCCATAGCGACGTCATCGGCTGAATGCGCATGCGCGGCAGGAGCCGCGCACATTCAGCCAGTTCATAGGAAAGCATTTACAATGCTTTCCGATGGACGCTGGCGTCTTCTCACTGTGATTTTCACAGTGAGAAGCACGCAAGCGCCTCTAGCGGCTGTCAAGAGACAGCCACTAGAGGCTGGATTAACCATATTATAAATGTTTATTAAAAAAAAGGGTTAATCCTAGATGGACCAGGCACCCAGACCACTTCATTAAGCTGAAGTGGTCTGGGTGCCTATAGTGGTCCTTTAAGTTAATGTGTTAACCACCACTGCACTTGTGTCACAATGGCTTCCCTTTCATACTGCCTGATAGTATTGGAATGCTGTTAGGGGGTATAATCCTAAATCCTTATGCACATTTAAATGGCTGAACGTATTTTATCATCACTCCTATGGCCATTAAAGTGTAAGCTTACTTGCCAAGTCAAGGTAAAACCTCTTAGGTGAGTCCTACACTAAAAAATAACCATGCTACTTTGAGCTAAAAGGCAAAATCTCTAATGAGACAGAGAGGGGTATTTTTCCAAACCCCTATACGCTTATTGTCCCTTAATAGGCCACACCTGGGGTGATACTAAAAACCTCTTAAAAGTGCATTAGTATTTCGAATAGTGCACAGGTAACTTTTTGCTTTTTTTGTTTTTATACTATGTAATGGGGCTGATGAATACTATAGTCACTGCTGCCGCCCAAGAGTAGTGGGCGTTTTGGCGCAGGGCTTAATTTTGCATGTAAGGCTGTATGCTGCTTCTATTATATAAAAATTTTTACCATTGCTTTCTTGTCTTATATCATATACCGCGTTATAAATGAAGAATCAAAACAAAAATCCAGAGGTTATCTGCAGCCTAACCCTACAAACATGTATTCCTGACCCTATAGTGCTAAACCCACCATTTAGGTGGCTTGCCCCCCCCTCAGCCCCCTTAAAATTTAATAAAACTCACCGTTTTTCCAGCACTCCACAGGCCTGCTGGCGCTAGCTCCACCCCCTTGGTGACATAATCAGAATTGCCAATTTTTAGCCGATCCAATACTTTCCCATGGGGAAAGCATTGGATTGGCTAAAATTGGCAAGGGGGCGGGGCCAAACACCGTTTTGGCCAATTAGCACCTTATAATAGAGATGCATTGAATCAATGAATCTCTAAGAGGAAAATTCAGTGTCCCCATGGAGAGCGTGGAGACGCTGAATGGCAGTGCTGCCTACTGTACAGCACTGAGCCAGGAAGCACCTCGAGTGGTCACTTGGAGGTGTCCATATGGTCAATAAACACTGCCTTTTCTCTGAAAATGCCTGCATATAATTATTATACTAACCAGAACAACTATATTAAGCTGTAGTTGTTCTGGTGACTATAGTGTCCCTTAAATATCATGTTTTTAAAGCTAATAACTATTTTGTTAAATGTATGTGTAAATTAATACAATTAATTAAGGGTTAATCATGTAGGGATGTATAAAAAAAAAATATCCCTTTCTGTTTCATTAGAGATATCTTTGCCAGAAGCTCAAGGAAGCAAGGTGAATGATTAGCGTTAGGACCCACCTAAGAGGTCTGCCTTGACGTTGCAGGTGGGCATACCCTCTCATGGCCATTGGACGTAACTAAAAACCTCAATTTGTTTAAAAATACATAGGGATGTGGGAAGAGTGCAGGTAACTTTTTTTCTTTGGTTTTTACTATATGTATTTGGGCTGATGTGTACTATGGTCGTTGCTGCCGCCCAGGAGTGATGGGAGTTTGAGTGCAGGACTTGTTTGTTTGTATTTGTAAATTAATAGAATGTTACACCTTCAAGAGATACTGACGGACACCTCTTTATGCTGTACACAGGAGAATGTTGACAACTGAAATGCAACTCCCAGAAGCCTTTGCTATGCGTTGCTGGTGGTTCTATAAGTAGGTGCATGCAGACCCTTCCTACATTTAAATGAGATGCTCCAATCAGAAATGACCTCACATGAAAATGCTTTATGTTTGGCTCAACAGTGCTTCTCTTAGAAAAGAATGAACTTTTTTTTCTCTATGACTGACAACAAAACATGTCTTTTACCTCTTTATTTTAAAATTATAATTATAATTAATTTCTAATAAAGTATGAATGACTTATGACATAGGGGAACACAAGATGGAGAGGGCCCTGCCCAAATGAGTTTAAAATCTAAAGAGTTTTCATCATTCCACATTGTATGAAAGACACAATAAAGTCTCTAAATTGCAGACCACTTTCTATTAAACAAAGACAAACTGTCACCTCTCTGAAAATGACACTATTGAACTAAATATTGAAATAACCTTTTTTTTCAATTTATTTCAATTTACAATAGCATATTACACAATAATCCGGTTCGGTTCAGGGACAGCCAAGGGACAGAGAAATTGAAACATTGAAGGTTATTCATAAAAGGTTGTTTTTTTTTCTTCTGAAAAGCAGTTTAATACACTAAAAGTGAGGGGCAGTCACCATGGAAACCAGTGATGCCCCGTTTTCACATTTGCAGAACAGACATTTTTTACACATAACATAAACATAAAAATACATTTCTCCTCTTCTCTCTATGCTTTCTCTATGGTGAGGGTAGGATCCAAAAGACACACTCCTATAGCAATACTGAAAGATGGAGGCACCAAATTGCACGGTAAACAAAAGTGAATTTCTACATTTAATGAATTATTCACCCCTTGCAAATACATATTTGTTAAGTATAGGGGATAAGTAAACATAATATTTAAAACTCTGGAAAGTGGCAGTTCAAATTTAATGCCACTTTGTCCAGGTCTCCCATCAGTCCTGATTATGGCTGGACAGTCCTGATTTCAAGGTCCGGTCCCACTGTCCCGAGATTGCCACCAAAACATGCGAGCACTACCAGTGGCGTACACAGAATACATGGGGCCCCGGTGCGAAACTGATCCATGCCCCCCCCCCCCTGCCTCCGACCCGTGCCCTGCCACACCCCGACACATACATACAGACACAGACATACATAGAGGCACACACACATACACACAGACACATACATAGGCACACACGCATACACACAGACACATACATACAGACACACACATACACCCCCCCCACAGACACATACATGCATACATACACACACACAGACACATACATACAGACACACACATGCACACACACCCCCGGCAGACACACACACAGACACATACATACAGAAATGCACACAGATACATACAGAGACACACACACACACATACAGTCTGTATGTATGTGTCTGTATGTGTGTGTGTGTGTCTGTATGTATGTGTCTGTGTGTGTCTCTGTATGTATGTGTCTGTATGATACAGACACATACATACAGAGACACACACACAGACACATACATACAGACACACACACACATACAGACACATACATACAGACACACAGACATACACATACATACAGACATACACATACAAAATGTTTAAGTCACCCTCCTGTTTCCTACCTTTTGCAGGAGGGTGACTTCCCTGGGGTCCAGTGTGGGCTCAGTCTGATGGGAGTCAGAGTTCCCACTCTGACACCCTCCTCCTTCCTCCCACGTGGCTCTGTCAGATAGCTGGGAGGAGTGAAATGCAGTCACTTCCTCCCAGCTCTGTCTGACATCATCACAGGGGGCCCGGTCGCGCTGTTAAAGCACCTAGCGCTGACTGGGTCCCTGAAAATCCGTCTCCATCGGGTGGCTTTGACAGCATGGGCCACCCGATGGACCCCTTAACATGCGGCCCTAGCGGTTTGCCAGGCATGACGGGGCCGCAAAAGATGGTGGCAGCTGGTACCTGGTCACAGGGGTCCACAGGGCAGCCGGGCCCCCTGGAGTGATGGGCCCGGTTGCAGCTGCGACCACTGCGACCGCGGTATGTACGCTGCTGAGCAAAACACTCAGAGCACTAAGACCCTGCAGAGAGCACTGAAACAGCGCTCTCTCTCTCATGGTCAGCCATTAGAGGGATGGCCTCCTTGATCTGCTTGATTGGCATTCACACCAGACTGACCTGCCAATTCTTTGAATGGACCTATCCCCTCTCGATTGATGTGATTTGCGTCACCGTCCGACCCACTTTTACTTCACCCACTTTCTTTTTCATAGGTGCCGATGTTGAAAGGTGGGCTTGTGGATTCTATGTGCGATGCTTGCTGCAGACAAATAATAGAAACTGTTGAGCACAAACTTAACCCCTTAAGGACACAGCTTCAGAAGCTTGACTTACGCTTAATGACACAAGCAATTTTTGCATTTTCTTGCTGTTTGCGTTCAACTGCAATTTGCATCTCTCTTATTTATTGCACCGACACATATTATATACTGTTTTTTAAAGGACAGAAAGGGCTTTAATTTGATATAACATATATATATATATATATAAATGCTTACTTATTATAAAAAAAATACAGAAAAATGCAAAAAAAATGAAAAATATTGTTTTTTTTTACAGTTTTTGCAATAATAATGTGTGCATAATTAGTGCAGGTTAAGGAAAGTAATTAAAAATAAATTTATTTATTTGTTCTGATTTACAGAATATATAATGTGTCTGGGATTTTAAGTTTTTTTTGGTAGTTACAGGTCACAAAGCACAAGGAGTAAAATAAACTTTTAATGTGGAGCGATTTTAGAATTTGGTATGTTTGTCTTGTAAGCTTAATAGCCATAAAAGAAAACAAAATTGCCACACAAAAGTATATATTTATATAAAGTAGACATCACGGGCTATTTACCTAAGGTTGTTTTGACACTTTCTACGTAGCCATTTCACCGCCAACCTCTGCTAAATATTGGAGTAAAATTGTGTTCTTTTTGGTTTTTGGCACACAAACTTATAACAGAGAAATTCTCGTGTATATTTTGTAAAGTTGGTGTGTGCTATTCCTGTACAAAGTTTTATTTTGTGTTCAGTTACATCTGCTGAGTAAAATGACACCCCCATTGTATGTCTTTTGCACTATTTCGTGAAGTTACAGTGCCATACAGGATACCTGTCCTTTTCAGTATTCACAGTAGAATTTTGAGAGATGGATTTAATGAGCCTTAGCTTCCATTTTGGGGTATTATAACAGTTTGACTGTTCAAAAAACCCCCACAAAGGCCTACCATTTGTAAAAGTAGACACTCCAGGGTATCTTATAGGTGCATATTGTGCCTTAACATGCCCCCATTTTTTCACCAATATATGCCAAAGTATGTGGTAAAAAATAATTTTGTGCATTTTTTACATACGGATTGCATTTTTGCTGGGCGTTTTGTATATTTCATATGTGCCACTAAGTTCAAACCCCCCAAATTATGCTCAGCTAAGTCTTCTGAGTAAAATGACACCCCATATGAATGTCTTTGGCACTATTTCGTGAAGCTACAGTGCCATATAGGAGACCTGTCCTTTACAGTATTCACAGTAGAATTTTGAGAGATGGATTTAATGAGCCTTAGCTTCCATTTGGGGTATTATAACAGTTTGACTGTTCAAAAAAACCCCACAAAGGCCTACCATTTGTAAAAGTAGACACTCCAGGGTATCTTATAAGGTGCATATTGTGCCTTAACATGCCCCCATTTTTTCACCAATATATGCCAAAGTATGTGGTAAAAAATAATTTTGTGCATTTTTTACATACGGATTGCATTTTTGCTGGGCGTTTTGTATATTTCATATGTGCCACTAAGTTCAAACCTCCCAAATTATGCTCAGCTAAGTCTTTTGAGTAAAAATACACCCCCAATGAATGTCTTTGGCACTATTTTGTGAAGCTACAGTGCCATATAGGAGACCAAGCCATATCCGTTTTTACCAGACTTTGAATTTTGACGCTGGGCCTATGTGCAATTTCCAAGCATCTTCGCAGGTTTTAAATTCAAACTACCCCACAAAGGCCTACCATTTCTTAAAGTAGACACCCCAGGGTGTTTCAAAAGGTATAGTTTGAACCTTAGCGTGGGATCATTTTTCCGCTAGCTTGTACCAGATGTAGTGGTAATAAGCATTTTTTCTGCCTTTTTGACATACAAAGTGAGTTTGCACAGCATATTTTGCAAACCTTATGTGTGCTACGACTGTATAATACTTCATATGTTGCTCAGCTATGTCGGCTGAGTACAGCAATACCTCCGTATGTACCTTTGCCAGGTATGTGTGGACATCGGAGGGGCACATTTGGGACACAGCCATTCCAGTTTTTTTCAAACTTTGAATTTTTATGCTGTGCCTATGTCCCATTTTAGAGTATTTTACCAGGCTATATAATCCAAATTCCCCATAAAGCCATACCATTTCTTAAAGAAGACATCCCAGGGTATTTCAAAAGGCATATTTTGAACCTTAGCGTGGGATCATTTTTCCGCTAGCTTGTACCAAGTGTAGTGGTAATAAGCATTTTTTCTGCCTTTTTTGACATACAAAGTGAGTTTGCGCAGCATATTTTGCAAACCTTATGTGTGCTATGACTGTATAATACTTCATATGTTGCTCAGCTATGTCGGCTGAGTACAGCAATACCCCCGTATGTACCTTTGCCAGGTATATGTGGATGTTGAAGGGGCGCATTTGAGACGCAGCCATTCAGTTTTTTTCTAACTTTGAAGTTTTACGCTGTGTCCATGTTCCAATTTGGAGTAGTTTAGACGGTTGGTTATTGAAACTTCCCCACAAACACATACTATTTATTAAAGAATACACCCTGGGGTAATTCAAAAGGCATATTTTGAACCTTGGCGTGGGATAATTTTTTCTCTAGTTTGCTCCAGGTGTAGTGGTAATGAGCGTTTTTAAAATGTATTTTTTTACTTTTTATAACTTTTTTACTTTTAAAAACTAGTTTTTAAACTTTTGTTTTGCTTATAAATTTTTTTTAAACTTTCCTAAACTTTCTTAAAACTTTTTTACAGATTTAACATTTTTCTAAGCTTTTTTTTTTTACCGTTAACCCCTAACTAGCAGTACGCAGCACTAACAGTAAATTCCCCATTTTCCCATAACTCCCACCCACCCCAGCTAGCAAAATATATAGTTATAAAATATTTAAATTAATTAATTAAATAAATTGAACCCCTGAGGGTTAATAAAATAAATAAAAGTTAATCCTCAGGGGTTAAAAAAAATTAGATCACAGTATAATACTGTGATCTCTATTTGATCGCTGTAGGCAGTGATCGACTGGCAGGGAAGGGGTTAATTTTTATTTGGACTAGGTAAAGTGTGTTTTTTTTGTTTTTTTTACTTAAATGTTATTAAAACATTTTTTTAAGCTTAATTTTTAACTTTTTAAAGTTTCTTTTAAAACTTTTTTTAACGTTAACCCCTAGTTAGCCTAACGCCAAATCCCCCAATTCCCCACTAACTTCCACCTACCCCAGCTAGCTAAATATATAATTAAAAAATAATTTAATTAATTAATTTAATTAATTTAACCCCTGAGGGTTAAAAAAAAAAGAATTAACCCTCAGGGGTTAAAAAAAAAAAATCAGATCATAGTAAAATGTAATCCCTGCCAATTGATCACTGTAGTCAGTGATCAATTGGCAGGGAAGGGGTTAATTTTTTTATTAAAATGGGTAAGGGGGGGGGGACTTTAAATAAACTTTATTTTTTTTTACAGCAGGGGGCAGGATCAGCACTGATCCGGCTCCCTGCACTTCACACAGAACCCGGAAGTGCAGGGAGCCGGTAGGTGAGTATAGAGAGCACATGTGCTCGCTCAGACTTGCGGTCAGAGCGAGCACATGTGCTGGGCAGACTGACTGGGTGCTCCCGGTATGCCTCTAATACAGAGGCATACCGGGAGCACCATTAACCCCGCGATCGCCGCGATAGCGGCGATCCGGGGTTAATTTTACCGCGTGACGGACGAGGTCCGTCACCCGTCGTTAAGGGTCTCCCCTGTGTGACGGACCTCGTCCGTCACCCGTCCTGAAGGGGTTAAAGGTACTCTATAGGCATAAAGAAAAACAACTAGCTTAATAAAGCAGTTTTAGTGTACAGTCTTACTGCTTCGTTCATTCTGTCATTTAGAAGTTATTAACTTTTGTTTCTGCTTATGCAGCCCTAGTGACACCTCCCCTGGCTGTTACTGACACAACCTGCATGGAAAAAAAAAGGTTTTATCTTCATTCAGATCTTGTTTGCTTTAGAAGTTTTTATCTTCTGCTCTGTAAATTGAGCTTTAATCACGCACAGGATTATCCTGCAGGCTCTAGGAGACTCTTAACAGAGGAGGAAATTGGAAATTCTTAATTAAACATAATGTGCAATAAAGGAAGTTTACACATTTGATCTCTTTATGGCGAAAGTGACCTCGCCACTGGTTTTTGGAGTAGCCTGTTTGCCAGCCTCCTGCTCTGTGACTA